CTCTCCCTCTCTGGATCTAAAGTCTCCAGCTGCTCCATTGCTCCACGTCATCATTTCTGGCTCCATTTCAGGCCTCACTGCTTCTCTGAGTAGCGTCCCACTCTCTGCTCCTCTCCCTTAATGGTCCTAGGGACCTCCGCTCCTAGACTGAAAAGTTAATCACTCCCCTCCTTGCTATAAAATAGAATATTTTTGAAGAGTGAAAAATGAAACTAAATTTTTTTTTCAACTTTTCTCACAATATGACATATTTGTTTGTGTCTGTCATTGACAACTGCTATTAAAACAAGGGGAGTTCTGTATAATATGTTCAGCAGGTTGGTGATATGCTCAAGGCTTTTTGAGGAGGCGCTGCTTTAGGGTGATGTACAAGATAGATTAATGCTAAAACTGACCTTCACTGGGTGTGAAATTAACTTATAATTGTAGTTGTCTGGTTGGTTTTTTTTTTTTTTTTTTTTAACTGTAATTGAAAACTGACATTTTTGACCGGAGTACTTTCTTCTGAGTCTACACTCCTAAATTGTCAAAGAGACCATTAGCCAAGGTGAGTGGGGTTGCAGTCATGGTTAAGATGGACATAGAGACCCTTCATTCCTCCAGGAGCAGGGAAGTGAGGTGATATTTGAGTACTTATGATAATCCATTCATTGTTAGAGTGTTGGTGTTAAGTCGGTTCTGACCTATGGTGATCCTGTATAGGGTTTCTGAGGTTCAAACCAATTTTTCAGTGCAGTGCATTAACCCACAGCTCCATCCCAGGACTCGTACTTGTTCATAGGTTACCTTGATAAATTTAAAGCGCCAGGGCTTTGGTAGTTTGCATCATGACTAGAAAGTGGCAGTGCTGGGATTTAAAGCTGGCGTCTCACTTGACGTTCAAGTCTGTGTCAAGGCCGTCAGTGGGACTGACTTGTTAACCTTTGTCAGGAGAGATTTGGGGAGCATCAGGCTAGCTTTTAGAAAACGTTTTATTGGGAATGGTGTCAATATAGTGAAGATCCATACTGATACATATAGATTGTTTTTGGGAAGTGCTGTCAAGCCGGTTCTGACTCATAGCAACCCTATATACGGTTTCTAAGGAGTGGCTGGTGACTTTGAATTGCCAGCCATGTATATATGTGCATATATATGTGCCTATACATACATATATATATGTATATATATTTATACACACACACACATATATATACATATATACATAAGGAGCTCTGGTAGCGTAGTGGTTACGAATCGGGCTGTGAACCTCAGGGTCAGCAGTTCAAAACTACCAGCTGTTATGTGGGAGAAAGATGAGGCTTTCTGCTCCCGTAAAGATTTACAGCCTTGGAAATCATGTACAGGGTCACTACAAGTCGGAACCGACTCCACAGCACATAACAACAACAGCAACGATATATATATATGTTGCTGTTGTTGTTGTTGTTGTGAAGTGCTGTGGAGTCGGTTCGGACCCATAGTGACACTGTACAGGGCGTCCGAGGAGCAACTGGTGTGCTTGAACTGCTGCCGACCTTGCAGTTCAAACAGCTTTTCAGTCTGGCACATTAACCCACAGCACCACACCAGGACTCCAGATGTTGCTATTAGCTGTCATCAAATCAGTTCTGACTCGTAGCAACTTTATGCACAACAGAATGAAACCCTGCTGTTGCTACCACTGTGTCAGTCCACATGGTGTAGTACTGTAGGATCAAGGTACAAGGCAGTTCAGTCAGCTGCTCCTCAGAAACCCTATACAGGGTCACTAGGGGTTGGAACAGACTCATTGACACTTAACAACACAATAGCAATAAAGAAGGGTGAGTGGAAAATTACCCGCCCTCCGGTTATGTTAAAGTACTCATCCACATCCATGGCTGATGCTAACATTCAGGGTGCACATGAAATGGTTCTGTCCAATAGATGAGTGACAGTGGATGATGTGGCAAATCATTTGCAAATTAGCCGTGGCTCTGCCTATGAAATAATTCACAACAGACTCATGTTTCAAAAAGTTTGGGTGAGATGTATACTGAAACAGCTCACAGAAGAGCATAAACAGAAGCATTTGGACATCTGCAAACAAAATTTGGACCAGTACTCAAAGGCAGGTAAAAGTTTCTTTAAAAAATATCAATACTGGTGATGAGACATGGATTCATCACTACATACCTACACTACAGCAGAGTATAGAATGGAAACATGCTCAGTTGCTGACCAAGAAAAGGTTCAGAAGTCAACTATCAGCTGCAAAATTGATGCTTACAGTTTTCTGGGATTCTCAAGGGCCAGTATTGGGACACTTTCAGGAAAAAGGTTCAGCAATCAACAGTGCTCAGTAGAGTGTGATGCTTACTGAAGAGCTGAAGGCCAGACTTCAGATTAAACACTGAAGACTGCCATACTAAGGGCCTTGTGATCTTGTACGACAATGCACGTCTGCACTCCTCTGCCCACACTGTTGACACTCTGCAAAAACTTTTTTAAGAGCTGTTAAAGTAGCCTCCATATAGTCCTGATCTTGTTCCACTGGACTTTCACCTGTCTGGTCATCTGAAAGCAGCCCTTTGAGGATTAAGATTCACCTCTGATGATGAAATGAAGACAGCAGTATGTTTGTGGCTCACAGTGCAGCCTAATACGTTTTTAAATAAAGGAATACGAAAACTTGTTGACTGATGGCTAAAGTATATTGAAAAGCAATGAGATTTACCAAAAATGATACATTTATCTTTTGTAAAAGTTGATGAACATGAATTCTGCTGTCAGAGTGCAGATAATTTTTGACTCAACCTTGTGTGTGTGTGTGTGTGTGTGTGTGTGTGATTTTACTTTATTTATTTTTTTGTAGGAGAAAACCCGAGAACAGAAAGAAGTCGATCTGATACCTAAAGTCCAGGAGGCTGTGAACTATGGTTTACAAGTGTTGGACAGTGCATTTGAACAGCTTGATATCAAAGCCGGAAACTCTGACTCTGAAGAAGAAGATGATAATGAACGGGTAGAACTGATCCTTGAACCAAAGGTAAAGATTTACTGCATTCAATTCACATATCTATTGTTAATTCTTATGTCTTGGATATTTTACTTAGGTACACAATAAGACATGGAGTTTTCCTCTAGGAAGTGAGCATGTCTCTTAGAAGAAGGAATTGTTTTACACAAGAGTCATTGAGCATTTACTAGGTTCTTTAAGCATTTACTAGTACATTTAATAGTACATTACATAAGAGTCATTGAGCGTTTACTAGGTACGTTTAAGCATTTACTACTGTGCCAGATTGTTGTTGTTGTTAGGTGCCGTTGAGTTGGTACCAACTCATAGAGACCCTATGCACAACAGAACAAAATACTGCCTGGTACCCACCAAATTCAAAATCATTGCTGCGTTTGAGCCCGTTGTTGCTGCCACTGTGCCCTCTCATATTGTGGGGGTCATCTTCTTTTTCTCTCACCCTCCACTGTACCAAATTCGTGTCCTTTTTCAGAGACTGGTTCCTCCTGATAACATGCCCAAAGTATGAGAGATGACGTCTGGCCATCCTGGCTTCCAAGGACCATTCAGGCTGTACTTTTTCCAGCACAGATTGTATTGTTCTTTTGGCAATGCATGGCACTTTTAATATTTTCCTCCAACACCATAGCTCAAGTGCATTAGTTCTTCTGTGGTCTTCCCTACTGACTGTCCAACTTTCACATGCATATAATACCATGGCTTGGGTCTGGCACATCTTATTTGTCAAGGTGACATCTTTACTCTTCAACACCTTAAATAAGTCTTGTGCAGCAGAGTTGCCTAATGCAATATGTCATTTGATTTCTTGACTGCTGCTTCCATGAGTGTTAATGGTTGAGCCAAAGAAATGAAGCCTTTGACAACTTTAATCTTTTCTCCATTTATGTGGATGTTGTTTATTGGTCCATTGTTGAGGATTTCCGATTCCTTTACATAGAGGTGAAACCCATAATGAAGGCTGTGGTCTTTGATCTTCCTCAGTAAGTACTTTAAGTCCTCTTCGGGTTCAGTAAGCAAAGTTGTAGATTTTTTTTGCTTTCTGTGGGTTCCCTTGTTACTCTTTTGGTGAAGTCTTTTGATGCACTTAAGTTTTTAATTTTTAGTATGTCCCACTCATCTCTTTTGTCTGCTTTTGCTTGTGTGACTTTCAAAATGTTTGGTAGTCTATGTATGCCCTGAATTAGAGCCCTCA